CTGTGCTTCACATAGTACAAAACCTCTGAGTAGGTTTTGATTCTTCTTTCAAATCGAAATTCACTTCTACTTGGACCTTAAGTTTTTTGTTTGTGTGTGTATGAAGTTTGTTTATTTGTATCCATCTTTTCAGGCAAATGACCATCTTAACTTCTACATTTTCTTTCTTTTTTTTCTTTTTTGTTTTTTAAGAACCTCACAGCCCAAAATCTTACCCATGGATAAACAGAAGCCCATTTTTAAAAAGGAAAGGCAAGCCCTTCAGTTTATTACCTACTGTACATATAGCATGCTTAGGTTAAACATACTAAACTTTTTCTGATATTTACTTGCCTTTAATCATTAGGTAAGAAAGACACTAGTGAGGAAGTACAAAGTGCACGCATCTTAAGAAGTGTGGGGTACGTGAACAGAAAGACGCAATATTTTCTGTCCATAATATAGTATGTAGTAGAGAAGAGGTATTGCTGCTGAGACTGGCCCTTGTCATGACCCTCTCTACATCCTCATAGAAACAAAGTACAAGGTTAGGATTCTGTAACAAACACAAGAGAAGGAGTATGTTTTTTGTGGGGAGACGGATAATAGAGAAGTGAGAGAAGGGGAAGAGGTAAGATGCACTGTGTATTTTAGAAATCACAGAAGTCTTTGCAAGCTGGTCTTCCAGAAAGTTTAAGGGGTGAAAATGAGCAGTAAAGTAAATGCAGTTATCTTAAATGGCAACCTTTTTGTTCAGACTACTTCTGTTATGCAAAATAAGTGATAAAGATACAGGAGGGGAAGGGGGGAGGGTAGGAGGAAATGTTGAGTTTGCCAGTTTTGTCTTGTAAGTGATACCTGTTTTACACCATGGGCGGTCACTTGTACCCATGCCTTACCAAGTGGAAGTTAGCTTTCTCCATTTTAAAAGTAAAGTGGGCCTTTAAAAATCCTCATGGATGCCATAATTACTGTCTGATATATTAACAGGCCAAGTGGTTTATGAAATGCCCTAATCTGTAAATATATTAAATCTGATGAATAGTCTACTGAGCTAGTCTTACAACTGTGACTCTTAGTGTCCTGTTGCTTATTGCAGAGTGAATAACAATTTCCTTCAGAAATAGCTTCTCAAAGCACTAAGCTTAGGCAACTGAACTCCTTCATATTGAAGATGGTGAGTTAGCTGCATGTCTTAAAGTCCAAATAAAAAAAAAGCAGAGTTGCCACTAGTTTTCTTTGAAGAAAATATATGAATAGTTAAAATCTTGCACATAAATAGTACAGTCTATTTTCTCATACTTCACTTTCTTTGAAGTTGAAATGTTTGATTATGGATTTGAGCAAGCCAGTGTATTTTTGTAATTGTATGCTTATAGCAAAGCTACCCAAGCTCGCGAATTGGAAAGATTTATTCTCCTGTGAGATGGAAGTGGGGGAAACTAAGAATGTATTGGATTGGACCAAGCAATCTAAAAATACTTACAACATAGCACACACTAATCCACGCTCACTTATTAAGTATGCAGAGATGATGATTGGTATGAAAATACGAGTACTGTTTATGTTCAACTGTCATTCAAATATGGAGCTTCAGAGCTGGAAACTACTTGCAATGCAATGTAAAGGTAAACATTAAGGTGAAACAAGCCTCTTCTGCTATATCATATTTTCTACTGTCACTGTACTATGTAATGTAGTTTATTTTATGAATAAATCATATTTTGATATATTTGTTTCCTGGAGGGTCAAAACTTCTCCCAACTTACCCTCTTCTGGTAACTGTTCTGTCATTGTCTGGGACTGAAGTGTACAGGAAGGTTTGGTCGAGTCACTCATGCTCTGCCAAGAAGCACAGCAAGAGCTGGCTGAAAAACTGGTACTTCTGTCCTGCAGAAGAACTTCAATGGTGGACATGGTCTTGAACTAAGATAAAATTTTAAAAATTTCATTGTGTGAGAAGTCCTGAAACCCTTCATAATAGCTCAGACTACTGTTTTTTGTTTGTTTGTTTTTTTGACAAATATTTAAATCACTGTTTCACAACTGAAACAACTGCTTGGCTCAACCTGACCATAGGCTAACCACTGAAGTGTTTACCTTGGGTCTCAGGAAAGTTTTGGAGCCCATGACAAGCTTTATATAACTGCTGTAGTCCTGCTGCTATCAGTACCCAAACTAACTTGTTGAAAGTTAGGGCAGGTGTGTCTATGTGAGCTGCAGTCACACCTTTTTTGAGTGCCTTGTGGATATCCATCTGATGCTGCACTGCAGCTTTTCACTTGGTGAGGTGACAGCAATGCAATGTGAAGGAGGGAGTCCAGGAAGGTTGGGAAGTTGCACCATTAAGGAGAAAAGGGGAATAAGGTATCCCAACTATTTTCTGTGATGAGCCAGGCACAGACAAATGAATATAAAGCTTCCTTCCTCTACCTCCAAGAAGCTGATCAGTACTTTGACTTGCAACTACCTCAACCTAAACTCTTTTGTTTCTCACTAGAAAATAAAATTTAGCAAATCATAGGAACACCTATTCCTGTTTTGCAGAAGCCACACTGTCCAAAGCCCATCATGATAGAAAATTCTTGACTAGCCTTGAATAGCAAAGGCACTCCCTTGGGAAACTTTACGAGAGTGCTATTCTAAGAGTGCCCTCCCTGCTCTGGGGATCAAACAGGAACCCTCTGCATCTCAAAAAGTAACCCTCTGTGTCCTATGCTTGAAAAAGTTGCCTTAACACACACTTGTCAACTGCTATGGGCATGTCTACATCACTTCCAAGACCTCAGACTCCAGTGTGTTTTAGACTAGCCACTGGGGAAGACCCTGGAACAGCTTCACTGTTGTGTTGCTGGGTTTGGAGTATGGGAATGAGAGTGGATGGATGGGGTATACTTAGGGCTATCCGAGCCGCATTTGCCTCAGTCATGGTATAGACTTGCTTTATGTGGCCAGGCCACTGTGTGCTTATGAGCTAACTTAAAAAACCTACCTTTCTACAAAGCAAAGTAGTACCAACTTCCCTCCACATGGAGGAAGGTGAACTAGGATGAGGTTTTTGCAGCTGAGTGAGTTGGGGTATATCCATACTGCCTCTGTTAGAGAGGGTGCTCCACTAATGCATTTCTGCTGTTTGGGAGATGGTCAGCACTACTCTAACATGGATAGGCAGGGTTTAATTTCCTAGAAGCATTCCCTAGGATAGCTGGGAGGAAGTATGGATGTGCCTTTGAGGGCTTTTCTCCAAAGGCCCAGGTTATGCATCAGTTTGTGATTTGTCTCTAGCTAAATAAATGTAGTATCACTGGAATGTCTAGAATGGAAGTGCTATGCCACAGTGGTGGGAGTAGAGAGCCATTCTCCTACACCCAGGCATAGCAAAAGGTTAGTTGGCAGGTCTTCATATGTATGTGGGTGTGTTTGCTTACTCTCTTCCCACTGAGCTGTAATGTCACTTAAAATACCAAAGTAAGCAGTTTTCTTTAAACACAATAGTTTTATAGAAACAATGCTTTGCAGTGCACAGCCTTTACATCAGCTCCTCTGGAAAATTATCTTGTGAGGTTTGGATTTTCCCTATGCAAGACAAGTTAACTGTGTCTTGTAGGGATCTTAAGGCAAGGCTTAAGCCCCAGTGTCCTCTGCCATAAAAGAAACCAAAATATGTCCTCCTTGTGCTCAGTCTCAAAACAACCCCCTTGCTACAGCAAAGAAGTACCTCTCTGTTCTCCTTTCTTGCTCTATAGCAGAGTTCCATAGGCTGGACAATAAGACCCAGATGCACAAAAATATTTAAGCTGCTAAAGTAGGACTTTGGTAGGGTTCAGTTGCCTAAATCCAACACTGCAGACCTGCTGCCGAACCCAGGAGGCACGTAATTATATTAAAGATCCCCAGGTGCCTAAATTTTTGGGGGGTATGTTCGTAAGTGCTTCAGTCTCGACATGGCTGAGCTGCTTCTCTCTGCCTAATCTCCTGCTGGAGTCCATAAAGAGGCATTTCACCATTTTAGTAGAGGATCCAGACTTGCTCTGAGCTTACCCAATCTGGTGTTGCACCAAAAGCAGTGGTGGCCACTGTTGTCGTTCAAAGGGCAGTGGAAAGAAGGGTTGCCCCTCTGCTCTATGGTATTTCAGTGGTTGAAGCAGTTGTTCAGGCATAGTCTACACTGAACAGTTTCCCTAGCACAGGGGTGGAGCTTTGCCCAGCCTGTGGCAGGCCCCTTAGTCTCGCCTGGCCCAGGCACCATCCAGCCATGATGCATCCTGCTACCTCCTGGGCACACAGCAGGGCTGGAGCAGCTCTGCGGCTGGACTACCTTTCTAGGCAGCCTGAGCAGCAGCAGTTCCTTCTGGCTGCCGCCACCCTTGACCTCAGCCCTGCGGTACTAGTGGGGACCTGTACGCAGCCCTGACCTCCCCTCCCGCTTTTTCCCCCCTCTCATACCTGCTGCAGACTCATCTGCTCACGCTGAACAGCTGCAATAGCACTGGTGGGGCAGAAGTGTGTTCAGCACAGGGGAAAAGCAGCCCCGCCCCACTCACCACTGCCTGGTGCTCCCTGCTACAGTCACGTGGAGCCCACGCTGGGTTACCCTATGGCTCCATTGCGCTCCCCCAGAGGTGGCGATGACAGTGGTGGAGTAGCAGGGTAGCCCAGTGTGGGCTCCGGGAGGCTGCTGCAGGAAGTGCTAGGCAGCAGTGGAGGGGAGGGGACTGCTTTTCCCCTGCAGCAAGCCCACTTCTGCCCTGCCGGTGCTGCTGCTATTGTTCAGCATGAGAAAGCAAGTCTGCAGCAGGCGCAGGGTGGGGTGGTGCAGGGTGGGGGTGTACGCATGTCCCTGCCAGTACTGTGGGGCTAGGGCCCGTGGCTGGAGCCCCCCGCCGTGGCTGCTGCCACCTGGACTGCGTAGACAGGCAGTTCAGTGTGGAGCCACCCCAGCCCTGCTGTGTGCCCACAGGACAGCAAGACACGCCATGGGTGG